GTCATCCCGGCCCTGCTGTTGCTCTTCTCATCGGGTAAGACACCACAATAAAATGTATATATTTTTTTTAAATTACCATCAAAAACTATTATCATCATAGTTATTGTCATCGTCGCCTATCCACATACATATATATATTATATATATTATATATTACAAGAGACAGTCGCTTATCTCCCGTTTATTCACTGTGACTTTAATATTATGCATTTATTAGATGCTACCTACTTAACTGATGGCTTACTCTAAACTGTATACATATCAGAATGATAATTACAAGACAAAAGTATGATATAGAATATTGCGGTATTTGCGCGGCTACTCGTCGTTAGATCGTTTGCGATTGTTATGAATATGTTCGTACAGAACACTTCTATAGACATAATATAATCGCATTGTTTTCAATACCATATGTATATACTTACCCATATAGTATAACAATAATAATATGAGGTGTCAATTTCTCTTCAAGTACAAACAATTAATCCAATCATATGTATATTTATACAATTATACATTATATATGGCCACATTGGTTTTAGGTACTGTTTGAAATCTTTTTGCGTGGTTACGGCAACGAAGGTACATGTCATTTATATATAAATATTTAAGAGATCGATTTATTAGGTAGGTACATTATACAATTATAATACGAGTGATTTAAAAAAGTTATTATAATTTTTAACTTCGAAACTCAAATGCAAGGTATAACTTATTACGACCCAACAGAATAGTCAAATACCATGCCTTGTACGATAATAATATATTCAAATTGTTTATCCCTTAGTATACACGAGAAGTCGATTCATAACGTTTACACATACCTATTAATTTGTTTCCAATTAATCTCAAAATCACTTAACAAAATACAATATTCCTATATAAAATATGTAGTAACGTTTAATTTCATTAATAAACAATACAATACCTACTGTAMAAGATGAATACAACATTATTATTAATTCAAATCACATACCTACATATTTTACCAATCAGAGTACCTATTATACATGGAAATAAAATACCTACTGATAAAGTATTATCTGTACTTTAACTTTTACGCGCAAATTGGAACTGTTTATTAGTGATCCTATGATAAGTATATTATAACTTGTTTGATACATTTTCGCTGATTTTATCTACCTAACCATATCTTTAATAACTAACGTCAGCTATTCAACCATTTATAAATGTTATTTATCTTATTCATCATAAAATATAATATTTGTTTGTCAGTAGGTATAATAAAATCAAACAAAATTTATCCTTTTCAAACCTATTCTGTTATTTTATACACATTTTCATTATTGAAATACGATTTAAATGTTTCCATATTATTATGTAGGTGTAATGGTACAATTTTTCACTGTTTTTTTTTTATTTTACTTAAACTAATATCTCTTTGTAACAAGATATTTCTATAAAAATAATTTTAACCTCACTGTATGTTATTGATTGTAATAAGTAATAACCATCATTCATCAGAAAACCTCGACCGGAACTTTATCTCATTGTTGTGTAACAAAATATAAACTAAACAGTATTTTACCATTTATACCTATTTTCTATAGACAATCAGAAAAGAAAAATTATTCATATATGATGAATGAATAAATTGATATTATATTAATGTTATTAATGATATTATAATGTTATTCAATTAGTAATATTTGTAGGATTAAATAAGTAAGTGTTTTTTACAGCCATGAGTATAGACGGTGAACTGTACTATACACTATTATCTATCATTCACACGACAAACGAAACGATATTGATAATACTAATATAGTTATGTATATATACATGAATATTAAATAGATCTATTTCCTTTAAACAAGTACTGTGTGGATGTATTATCTGAATATTTAATATTTTTATTTTTTAATGTTATCATGAAGTTTCCGGCCGGCGTAAAACATTAACAACAATAGGTTATTACATGCTGCAAACGTATTTAACACATTAGCGGTATCTCTCATTCATCCTCATTCTCTCKTTCACTCTMTCTCTCTCTCTCTCWCWCWCRCACACACACACACACAYACACATACTCGAAAGATTTATCTGAATATACATTTTTTTTATAATGAACTGCAAACAAAATCCCARCCATCCGCTAGTGTTGATATATATTTCTAGTGCTTTTAACGATACTATTATGTGTGATCAAATTATTATTACTGTTATAGGACATTTTTTTACGATCTATTTTTATAGGTGCCCAAATCTAATGTTCGAAATTAAAAYTTAAAACGATAGAGTGATACATTTTAACGAAATTATAACTACAAAGGATACTATAAACATTATTAATAATTCAATCAATCAATTTCTTATTACATTTTACTATAAGACAAATTATTATTAAAATAAATATTAAACTGTAGTACCTATACTTTTTAAACTATAATACAGAACAT